CCACTGACCGACAAGAACAAAACCGACCCGGGAAACTTGGGCAAAAGCCTCGATCCTGTGTATCAATCCGTGAATCCGTGATTCCGTGATAATTTGCCAACCAATCATACGTCAGATTTGAGTCTGGTGCGCTGCTGACATCGCTTATGGAGAGGGGAGTCGCACCACAGACAGATGTGGTGTTGAAGCTGCTTCTTATTGGCGATATGGGTAAGTTGCTGTCCTTGCGAAGTTTGATTCTGTGTGGGGTTACTCCATTTTTCGAGCTGACTCTAAACGAGGGCGGGCAGGCGGGGTTACTCTCTACATACATGCGGCCCCACTAATCCCGATTGTCCTCCCCGACACCCCCCTGCACCCTTTTGCTATGCACTATGGGTTCAAATCCCGCTGGGCAGGTCCGTTCTCTCCTTCTCGGCGTGGTATATCGTAGCCATTCGAGCCCACTGAAGATGACCAATTCCTCATACAAACCCTTGAGAAACTCCCCTCCAACAACCAGTTCACTCAGCTCTAGCTGGCAGGTGACTTCAACGCCCCAAAGGCCTCCTAGATTGAGCTCCAGCGCGTCCAATCAGGCGGACCTTTTGCAGCGGCGCTGTTTGAAGTCGTTCAACAGAGCGCTTGGACCCAACATGTCGTTTCACCCACCAGATACCGCGCAGGCCAACTACCATCCCTCCTGGATTTGGTCATCACCAACGAAAGACACTTCGTTGATCAGGTAACAATTAACGCTCCACTGGGGCATAGCGACCACTGTGTGCTGACCTTTGATTTCATCTGCTATTGGGCCAGATATCCCGAACCTCAAACGTGGTATCAAGACTTCTACCGTGCAGACTTCTCAGGAATGCGCATCGTCCTTGAACGAGTCGCACTGGGACCACCTCCGATGGAAGAACTATATAGGACCATTGTCCAGAAAGTTCACGAGGCTGACGTGACGTCCGTCCCAAAATACCGGCACGCACTCAGATGAACCGCAGGATGCCAAAAAGGGATTCGGCGACTTCGGAAAAAACCCACCTCATTTTCTAAAAGTTGACTACAGGGGATATAGAAGGCGAGCCGGCATTTCGTGAAATGCAGAACCGATGTAAATCGGAAATCCGTCAATGGAACATACGAAAACAAGCCACCGTTCTTGAACTCGCCCGAAAAAAACAAAAACGTACTGTTCAAGTACATGAGACATCGCCGCAGAAAC